TTAGGGTCAGGGTTGGGGTTGGAGTTGGGGTCAGCGTTAGGGTCAGGGTTAGGTTTGGGGTTGGGGTCATGGTTAGGGTCAGGGTTGGGGTTGGGGATGCAGTTGGGGTCAGGGTTAGAGACTGATTTAGGATTGGAGTCGGCAGTCGGGTCGGGTTAAGATGAGGATTGGGGTTACGGTCAGGATTGGAGCTTGGGTTAAGGACAGGATTAGGGTCAGGGTCAGGATGGTGTTTAGGGTCATGGTCCGTGTTAGGGTTGGGGCAGGGACAGAATTGGGGTTAGAATTAGGGTCAGAGTTAGGGTTGTGTGTAGGGCTACGGATAGAGTTGGGTCAGGGATGGGGTTGGGGTCCAGGTTGTGTTTAGGGTCAGGAATAGGGTTGGGGTCAAGGTTGTGTTTAGGGTCCGGGTTATGTTTAGGATCAAGGTTTGTGTTTCAGATCAGGTATAGGGTTGGGGTCAAGGTTATGTTTAGGGTAGGGATTAAGGCCAGGGTTTTGTTTAGGGTCAAGAATAGGGTTGGAGTCAAGGTTGTGTTTAGGGTCAGGGTTAAGGTAAGGGTTTTGTTTGGGGTCAGGAATAGGGTTGGGGTCAAGGTCATGTTTAGGATCAGGGTTATGTTTAGGGTTAGGAATAGGGTTTGGATCAAGGTCATGTTTAGGGTCAGGGTTACGTTTAGGGTCAGGAATAGGGTTGGAGTCAAGGTTACGTTTAGGGTCAGGTTTATGTTTAGGGTCAGGGTTTTGTTTAGGGTCAGGAATAGGGTTGGGGTCAAGGTTACATTTAGGGTCAGGGTTATGTTTAGGGTCAGGTTTATGGTTAGGGTCAAGGTTTATGTTTCAGATCAGGGATAGGGTTGGGGTCGAGGTCATGTTTAGGATCAGGGTTATGTTTAGGGTCAAGGTTACGTTTAGGATCAGGGTTATGTTTATGGTCAGGGTTTTGTTTGGGGTCAGGCTTAGGGTTGGGGTCAAGGTCCGGTTTAGGGCCCAAGTCCCACCCCCACCTGGTGAGCGTCTGCCTGTCCATCTTGTAGGTGTTGATGAAGTTCATGTCCTGCAGCATGCTGAGGATGGCCTGCGGGGACACGGGGCGGCCAGGGGGGGTCACCCCCGGGGGAACCCGACCCCAACGGGGGGGTGGCCGCAACGGGGGACCGTCCCCAACGCCGTCCTCACCATGGAGGTGTCATCCTCGGGCAGCGAGCGCGGCGTGTAGCTGAAGGCGGCGAAGTTGGGGTCGATGGCGGCCACCGGTTGGATGCCCTCGCTCAGCAGCTTGGTGTATTCGTCATCCGACACCTGGAGCAGAGACACCAACATGGCCCCAAAGTTGGTTCCAACGGTGGCCCCAAAGTTGGTCCTAAAGTTAGCTCAAAGTTGGACCTAAAGTTGGCAAAAAAGTTGGCCCCAAAGTTGGTCCCAAAGTTGGTCCTAAAGTTGGTCCCAAAGTCGGTCCCAAAGTTGGTCCCAAATTTGGCCTTAAAGTTGGTCCCAAAGTTGGACCCAAAGTTGGTCCTAAAGTTGGCTCAATGTTGGCCTTAAAGTTGGTCCCAACGTTGGTCCCAAAGTAGGTCCTAAAGTTGGCCTCAAAGGTGGCCCCAAAGATGGTCCCAAAGTTGGTCACAATGTAGATCCCAGAGTTGGCCCAAAGTTGGTCCTAATGTTGGCCCCAAAGGTGGCCCCGAAGTTCACCCCAAAGTTGGTC